CTGTTTGTTCAGAATTAGCTGTGTGCCAAATAAACTGAATGTTGTGTTATGGGTTGTGAGTTCAGAATGAGCAATGTTTAGAATAGGCTGTATATTCAGAATCAGCAGTGTCCTGCATGAGCCGTATGACCAAAATAAACAGAGTACTGTGTTGTGAGCTGTGTGTTCAAAACGAACACTCTATAGCTTGAACATATTGAGAACTTGTGATTAGTTCCACTTCCAGTGCCGTCCGGTGTTGATTTTGCAAAGTTACACCTGTATTACTTCAATTTGCTTATCGAGTTGTTGCTCATTTGCTTATCAAGTTGTTACTCATTTGCTTATCGAGTTGTTACTCATTTGATTACCAAGTTGTCGTAATTTTGCTTATCGAGTTGCTGCTCTCTGCTTATCAAGTTGTAAACTTGTTAAGGTCTCATTATTGCTTATTGAGTTAATTTGTTTTATTTGTTACGTTGGTCTACCTACCTGGTAGTACATGCATGTTCAATTTCCATCTGATTACATTGTTATGTGATATGGTATGATACGATGCGATGTGATGCGATGCGATGTACAAATGCAACACTTTTTCAGCAAAAAGCTTGTTTCATCCCATCATCTTTTCAAATACATAGTTTTGGGAAAGTAAAACCTGCCTCAAGCAGTACAAAGTGCTCAAACTACTAGCTAAAAGGAAAATAAAGCAAAAAGAAAGAAAAGCAACAAAAGTCTAGATCAATGTCAACTGGTCTCAGGCATGAGAGTCTATCCTCGTCCTCTTCCTGGACGAAGGTCCAGGAGCATCGTCACCATCCCCACCATCTGAGCCCGAGCCCGAGGCATCTCCAGTCTCATCCTCAGATAACTCTGCCTTTGTCTCGGACTCATCATCATCTGGAATCGGTGCCCTCATGCTGCTCCCAACATGAGTGCGCCCCGCTTTGGTGCCGGGGGGGGGGGGGTACTGTGGTCCCTCGTCCTGCTCTCCTTCCTCCTCCGGTAGACACGGACGGTCCTGCTGGAGCACCCCCTGTAGCCGGTATCTGGAATGGGGGCTGAAAAGGACAAATAGTAGATACATCAGTTATGCTACGCAGAGCAGAGTATGAATACAGAATGCAGCGTATGAGTACAGTTTATGAATGCTATGAGCAGTATATTAGTGCAGAATGTCGTGAATGAATGCTATGAGCAGTATATCAGTGCAGAATGCTGTGTATGAATGCTATGAGCAGTGTGTCAGTACAGAATGCAGTGACTGAGTGCAGTGTATGAATGTCCAGTGGCTGAGTGCAGTGTATGAATGCCGTGATCAATGCTATGAGTAGTCTGTGGGTTACAGTGTACCAAATGCCGTGAGGGTCGTGTATCAAGTGTTGTGCCGATAGTGCGATGTATCAGATTGCCTAGGGTTTGAGATTATGGTTGAAAGAGCTTACCGGGATACTGTAGATAGCCAGTAGGTCGAGGCTCTACTGTAGCATCCCCATCACGAAAGTAGTCAACTCCAAAGACTGGCGAGTATACTCGACAGAAGTCTGTAAGAGTGTTAGAAACATCAGTATTCTGCGGAATATCAAGAGAAATAAAATGAAGTGACTGTACAAGATACAAAATGCAGTAGTGCATACCGGAGGCAAGCCGTAGAATCCGACTAGCTCGTGATCAGGCAGAGGGAGAGCGATGGGGATCTGGTAAGTCTCCCCACCCTACCCTCGGCATGTCATCATAGTAGGCAGCTCAGGCCACCCAGCTCCCTGCCCTTTCCGGGACCTGCTCCTGTCTCAAGCCGAAGTCATCATAGTAGGCAGCTCGGGCCACCCAGCTCCCTGCCCTCTTTGGGGCCCACTCCTACCTTGGGCCCGAGGTATCCGCGATGCTCCTGCTCTCGCAGCTGGCGCCGTTGGTTTCTTTCTCTCAACTCGGCTAGCACCGACCAGAGGCCACATGATATAGGTCTGGACGAACTCCGCATAGTCGCCCTCGTCTACAAAGCGCTCATGGCTCCAGCAGATGGTGTAACTCATCATCTCCGCTAAGGTATATCTCTCAGTGACCCTCGCATGGGTAGGAGGAGGTGCTGGAACCGGCTGCTCTGGCATGCCCAAGGTCTGCCTCAAGAAGCGCTTCCCAATGTACCAGGCACGGCAAATTGGGCCCTCTAACAAGACTCTAAATCAGGCAGTCTCTTGAGCGTTGGCATACCGCTCTCGAACTACAATGGGCAATGACGTCCATGGCTGCTAAGTGATCTGGAAATAGCAGTAAATACAGTTTGTTATCTGATATTTAAGGTACATTGCAAAGAAAAGTCAATAAACTGAAATGTTTGACATACCTCGACTGCGGTGATAGTGTCAAAGTAACGACAGAAGAATATGAAGGGCTCTCGTGGCCTCCGCTCGCACCTCACGTCGAAGTGGAGAGAAAATGGGAGCATGGGGGGCATCTCCCTGTCCGGTACTAGGGCAAGCCTCGGAAAGTAGCCATACACCCACAACTACAGAATGAAACATAGCAAACACCAGTAGGCTTATCAGATAAAGCAGTGTATAGATAAAAGCAAAAATCAAAAAATAGTGTGTAGTGTATTGTGCAATGTGTGCGGTGTGTTGTGCAGTGTGTGCAATGTACAGTCAATGCAGAACATATTGCCTGTGCGCAGTATGTATAGAGTGCTGATAATGTAAAATAGAACTGAAAAGACAGAAAAGGGAACATGTACCTCCCAGGCTCGCCAGTAGCCTCCGAGTAACCGCCCACTGAGGCGGGAAGATGAGCTCATGTACCCGTAGAGAGTGGCCAAGCCGGCGCCACCCCAGTCATAAAGGTAGATCCGCGTCACATCCACGAGCGCGCTCAGCAGATAGAGGGCGACGGTGTTCGCCCGGTCGGCGAAAAGCGTGGTCCCTAGCAAAAACATGATAAAATCGCGAGCGTACTGCTCCTCCTCCTCTTGAGTAGTAGGTGCCTGGATCCAAAAATGGTCCTCGAACCATGAATATCTCACAAACCCTGCGTGAGCGAGAGGTGGCTGAGCACCGAGCAGGTACATCTGAGCGGCGTCCCACTCGTCCATGTCTGTATCAAAGGGGATCGGATCAACGCCCACTCCAATGCCTGTGAGCATGGAGAAGTCGAAGGGAGTCATAGTCATCTCCCCGGTGGCAGAAAGGTTGAGGGAGTTGGTGGTGTCTTACCACCTCTCCACCAGAGCAGCAAGAATGGGCCTACTCGTGGTAAGGCGTGAAAGTCCCATGCAAAAAGTCCCAAAGCCGGCAGCTGACCGGGCAGCTCGATCCCCGTCATAATCAGCGAAGTGGCAATCTTGAAAGCTTTATCAACACAAACTTCTCTGAAAAGCACAATTTGGGTTGGATTCGCATCTAAACACTCATAGCCTCACTGAAAATAAAAAGTGCGAATAAAATTACAACTCAAAGGAGTTTTGTCAAACGGGATTGCCAAGAAATAAAACCTAACACTATCCTTTCTTGTAAAGCTTAGTGTGACCTTCTATTTGTCTGAGAAGTACTGTTATTTCATTTTTTTTTATTTATTTTTTAAATATGGTTTACACACTTTAAATTATTATTATTTTTTCTATTGTGTTGCAGATCCAAAATCATCTGGTGATCCCAAGTTTATGGAGGCATATGGTAACACAGATCTTCTAATTGCTGTTATGCTATGTTTTAGAGTTCATGTCATACTTCCCCTATGTAGCTTACAAATCTATTGCGTCCTCTGCGTTATGGGATAATAATTTTTCACTGTCGCAGAATTGGATTTTATCTTGATGAGTCCATTTGCTTTTAATTATTTCTATGGAAGTAATACTCTCATTCTGCATGGACATCAAATATTGCAAATAAGTGGTCTGTCATTATATTTTACCACCTCTATCCTGGCTTAGAATTTGTTGGTTCTCTTCCTAAATCACATGCTTTTTAATTTTTGGTCAGCCCTTTCCATCTAGAAGCCGTTTAAAGTAAACTTCTTTTAATTGAATTTTAGTTTCTTCCATTGTTACTCTTGTTGTTGCTACTTATAGCATATAAAGTATCGGAGGCCTTGTATCTGGATATGCATTGCCTATGTTTGAACTGCCAATATTGGATTCATGTTAGCAATAAGCATAATTTGTTCCAAATCCAATTCACTTGATTTAGGGCCTCAAAATATAGTTTGTGCATCTCCACTGTGTTGTCAAAGAAAATAGAAGAATTCATAGTATAACTAATTTCAGCTCTCATATTCTTGGGGGGTGGAAATAATTTTTGAAAATTCAAAATTATAATTTTTGGTGTTTTTTTATTTTATTTATCAAGCTACTCTGTTAATATGCTAATAAGTCCCTTGTTTGGTTATGGTATAGTTGCATTTGTCCCAAGATGGAGGTTGCTGAATTTGTTCATAGCAGTGACAGATTTTCTTGTTGGAAATAAGCTCTCTAGCAAATTTGCAGCAACTCTTTCTTGCTAGAAATAAGCTTCATAGAGATTATAACAGATTGAGGACATTTCTAGTGCTTTCATAATCAAATTAAACATTTTCATTATTTAATTTGTGCCCATTAGCCACAAATGCTCATTATTATATTTCCAAACCTGTAATGATTTTCCCTACTTACAATGAAATACATATTGATGGGTTTTTGTTTTTCTTATTCATTATTCTAATTTCGTGCTGTTATATTTTTGGTTATTTTTCCCCCCTTTGATAAGCCCAATAGACTATAAACTTCCATGCAATAGATTTTTTTTAATGGTAAATAATCACTTCAACCAAGCAATCATAATGTTAAATTTTTCTCACATATCTGCATCCCTTTCTAGGCTAAGGATCTTTCTGGTGGTGCTATGAACAATACTGATCTTGCATAGTTTTAAGTGGTGCTTCAGTACAATGTTCTCCCTATATTTAGTTTCTAAATTTACAATTTCAAAGATTTGATGATCTAATAAAACTTAGTTGATCAAAATCCTTTCAAGTTACATTAACCTATCAAAATTGTTATGTTGATAATTGCTTAAATCTCTGTTTCATTTCTTAAACATGTTCGATTTCTCCCATTTTTGCATTGAATTCAAATATTTGATGATTCAAAGCCCCAATTCATTTCGTAATGACTCGAGAAAATGAGTTTTCCATGGCTACACAATAGACATTTTGATTTGTCCGCTAATATCTCTCTATGCAGAGGCTTGTTCACATGTTCACTGATATGACTTGGCAGGTTGGGATAATGCTTGACAATGCCCAAAATGGAATTTATGGAGAGGTATCCTCTATTCTTCCTTACTATTTTCCCTCTTTTTTTTTCTTCTTTCTTTTATATATATATATATATGCTATGTGTTTTGAATCACTTGCAATTGTAAGGATGCATTCTTCTAAATCCAGGGAGGTTGTGTTTGATTTGTGGTTGAATTAGTTTGTTACTATGTCAGAAAACAAGGCATCAATACTTTTGGTTTCTTTTTCTTTGAACCACAAGAAGCCATGTCTAATACTTCCAAAGTTCTAATATTGTCATGCACTCCATATATTTTGAAAAACAAAATGGAAGAGAAGTTTTATTGTTTAAAGTTGGCCAACATAACTCAAAGCATGAAATAAAACTATGCGTCGTTTCTAGTTGAATGCTAAGAACTACAATATATAGGTGTCTAGGTTTGTAGAGACCAACCGGTGGGAGATGTTGAGGGCATGCTTTTGAGTCTGTACAGGGACAAGTGGCCTCCTTTGTCTAGCCTAACATTCTACTAGTGGGAAAATGTCAATTCTAAGTGGAGCCTAATTAACGACATGCAAGTCTGCTTCTGACTTTATCAAGAACAGGCTTCCAAGTTGACTTCTTATTTGGTATAGCGATCCCGGTTATCCCTTTACTGTTCTGTTGTATTCCGGACTCGGTTCCGTGAAGTTGGTAGTGGTATCTATCTTGTTGTGTCCTTTGATTCCACTTGATTGAGTTTTAGGATGTTTATGGGCTTGTGTTGGACAGGTGGGTTAAGCCTTGGTCTATATCCTTGTTGCCTAGGATTTTGGTGTTACGCTCGAGCGGGTCGTTCTGCGCTCGAGCGGAGTTTAGTTTCTAGTTTAGCGCTCGAGCGGGTGTTCTGGTGCTCGAGCGGAGATTGCACGCTCCCAGTTTTTTCGTGTCTCTGCAAAACTTCTGCAGATGTGATTTTTGCGCTCGAGGGGTTTGTTTACGCTCGAGCTGTGGCGCTCGAGCAGGTCGGTGGGCGCTCGAGCAGGTAGTACTTCCAGAGTATAAGTTCTGGGAGGGGGAAATCGATGCTCGAGCGGACTGGTTTTCGCGCTCGAGCGGATGTACTTTATTCCTGTGTCTTGGCGCTCGAGCGGGCCTTATTGCGCTCGAGCGTATCCAGATTTTTGTTCTTAACGCTCGAGCGTTGTGTTCTCCACTCGAGCGAGAATGTCGTATATCAGTTGGTAGCTGGGCATTTTAAAATCACTTTTTGCATTCTCTCTCTCTCTCTTACTTTTCTAAAAAGCCATTTGAGAGCTCCTCTTTCTAAAACCATAACTTCTCTCTAAGTATTGATCTAGCTAGAGTGTTTTCCTCACCTTTGGTCTTCACAAGAGTTGGGTTGATCGTTGAGGGCTATCCATTGATCCGAAAATATTGAGTTTTGGAGCACGTCGAGTTTCCTCACCTTCTTTCCTTGAGCTCTGAATTTGAGGTAGGGATTCCTACTCACTCTTATGGTCTTTGGCATAGATTTTTGGTTGTTTTGATAAAGTGTTGAAGTTAGGTAATTTTGAGACTTAGGGTTTCAAAATGTTATAAGAGGGTTTGTTATTTTGATTCTAAAAATGTGTATTGTGGGTTTCAAAATAATGATATTGTTGTTGGTTGTTGATATATAGACCATTAGGTCAATATTGAGAAATGGGGTAGAAAACCCTAATTGGTTGTATAAATTAATTGGTATGATTAATTTAGGAAAATTGTGGTTATATGGAATTGAGTTGGAAATAATGAAATTGGTTCATTATATAGTAGAATAGTGGAGTTGGATTTATTAATCGCTCA